TCTCTGAAAGACCTCTTATTTCTATCGCCGAGTAGTTCACAGTCGAGACCACAGATGTATCGATCGAATAGTTCGCTCTCGTCTTTAAGCGGTTCTAGTCTTTCGGCGTCCATTCGCTCCGTTTCGAGTCCATCACTACAACACTCAGCGCTGTCGCGGACGTCCTCCAGTGCCACCAGTCTTTCAAAAGACATGAACTCCAGTGCTTGCAATGAAAACAATTGCATTTATTTGCAGCAAAACTACAAACTTCCAGAGAATCTGATTTGTTATTTAGATATAGAAGACGGACAGCAAGTGTTCGCCGGACCTCTGCTTCAATGGCCTAAAGATATTTGCGAACAAATCTTCAAAAAGTTTGCCGAATGTTGTTATGAAATGAGTGCACACTTCAGACATTCCAAAGACGTTTGCCATGAAATCGGCAGAACTTTTCAGATAAAGATTTGCTCCAACTTTTTGAATCCAAACAAATTGAGAGCAAAGAAAGCCGACAATGAAATACATTTGTTTAATGTTATCGCACGGCATGAGAGAAATTATGAATTTTATGCCTGTTTTAAGACAAACCCTTCGGAGTCGCTGTTCAATGATTTCGATATCGAAGACTTCATATATAGTCTGCATTTGCAGAGAAGACTCTTGTGATTATTGAACTCAAAATGCCTTACATTTGCCAATATATTTGAGTCTCATATCAATGGTTTGCAAAGTAACAGAATCTTATATTTTTCGCAGTTTCATACTTAAATGTCCACTTATATACTCAAATCAATTAAACACTGATCTATTACATTTTATTTATTATATATTTCTATAACTTTTATCAATATTTTGTTATACGGTATTTTAGTTTTCTATTTGTTGTCTTAATTATGGAATAATGGGATGTACTTAATTTCATTTGTTATTTTTTAAAATGCAATTTAAATAAAATCATATTTGTTTCGCAATTTAAATCTTATTTAGTCGTTAATCAAAAATTAAAAACTTTGTATAGAGCAGTACTGACAATGAATAATTGTAACTCAATCTTAATATTTGCCACATTTTGTGTACAGAATTCAATTCGAGAGAATTGCAAATCAAAGTCAATATATCTGATTACACTCATTAATCAATTCTTAGTAATTATTTATTGGACGTGTATTTCAATTAGGTGAATCTGTGAGACATCAAATAAATGTCAAAACATTTAGAATTATTTATATTTAAGTCAGATATGTTTATTACGATATTAGACAGTATTGTACGTATACTTATTAATATTGTAGATTAATGACCCTATACTAGCATTTATGGTCCAAAATTCAGCTCTCTCTCTCTCTCTCTCTCTCTCTCTCTCATCCACTTCTATCTCTTGTACCACATTATCGGAAGATTTCAAATACCAAATTCAAACTTGATTTATATATTTCTTAATCAATAATCAAAGAGTTTATTTAAAATATAAGACTCAAATATTATATAATAAACTAAATCAATAAATAAATACTAAAATTCTAAATTGGAAAGAAAAATATCCTAAACTTACTATTAATAATAATCACTATTTAAAAACATATTCAGTATAAGAAAACTTGAAAATATGACTTTTAGTATATAAATTAGTTTAAAAGATGTCTAGTTTACGATAATTATCGATTAAAACAATTGAATTTTATCATGTAATCTAATCTGGAAAACTTATGAAATGCAAGGAAAATTAGTTTTAAACAACATTTCAGTAATATTCTTATAATATAATATTTAGACTCTAGAGTATGGACTTAAAAATGAGTATTTGATTACAAATTGATGAGATATTCGATGAGAAACCAATTGATTTCATAAACATCGAGACGATAGCGTAATCTTATACTCTATTTGTTTCGATAGGCGTTAGTCTCTGAAACAAATAAGATGTCTCTCTTCGGTATCTATTATCAGACAAATATGTTTTGGTTCCTAAAGTCAGCAAAAATGAACCACACATTCAAGAAGTCACAGCATTTGACAAAATTTCACAATTGGTTANTGCTCTCAATTTGTTTGGATTCAAAAAGTTGGAGCAAATCTTAATCTGAAAAGTTCTGCCGATTTCATGGCAAACGTCTTTGGAATGTCTGAAGTGTGCACTCATTTCATAACAACATTCGGCAAACTTTTTGAAGATTTGTTCGCAAATATCTTTAGGCCATTGAAGCAGAGGTCCGGCGAACACTTGCTGTCCGTCTTCTATATCTAAATAACAAATCAGATTCTCTGGAAGTTTGTAGTTTTGCTGCAAATAAATGCAATTGTTTTCATTGCAAGCACTGGAGTTCATGTCTTTTGAAAGACTGGTGGCACTGGAGGACGTCCGCGACAGCGCTGAGTGTTGTAGTGATGGACTCGAAACGGAGCGAATGGACGCCGAAAGACTAGAACCGCTTAAAGACGAGAGCGAACTATTCGATCGATACATCTGTGGTCTCGACTGTGAACTACTCGGCGATAGAAATAAGAGGTCTTTCAGAGAGGACAGAGATTTGTAACGTTTTTGTTCTTTGCGGCCAAACATGTGTTGGACAGCCATTTGTTGGACATTAAAGCAGTGATCGATTTCCTCAATGATTCCCAATTTAGTGAAATGCGATTTCAATAACCGAATCGATTCGTTGATTATCACTTCATTTGCTTTGATTGGTGTCTCTTCTGGACTGATAAACGGCATTTCAATGAGAGTGCAGTGAATCATATGCTGGTAACCAATCATCGATACAAAGTATTTAATGTCTTCGCTCTCATTGTAATCATTGCACTCATTGTTAGGATTAAAGTTAGGAAATACTTCACTCCAGTAGACGAAGCGTATTGGATGTGTTTTGTGTAATGCAAGCACTCCTTTGAGGCTCAAGAAGGCAAAGATGTCTTTCAAGTGATTCATTGACAACTGAGTGGATTAAAGTTAGGAAATACTTCACTCCAGTAGACGAAGCGTATTGGATGTGTTTTGTGTAATGCAAGCACTCCTTTGAGGCTCAAGAAGGCAAAGATGTCTTTCAAGTGATTCATTGACAACTGAGAGGACAGTAATAAGCCTTTGTATAAAAGGCAGGAACCGATTACAATGAATTGGCAACTGTTCTGTTGGTGTAAATCGATGGTCGAGTTATCGCTGATCCAATCCATTGCCTCGAATTCCGAGAGAGAATCGCTTAAATTGATGGCTAAGTTGTCGTCGATTATCAACCGTTTGATTGTATTTAAAAATATTGAGTCAATCGATGAATACTTCAATTCTTCGGTCAACAGGTATTCAAAAACTGAGAAGAATTTCGTGAGATTCGAGTGTTTCGAGTCATCTTTGAAAGCGATGTCTAATGAGCTGTAAATGAATTTAATAACTCTTGCCATGGTTTGGACAATGGCTTCGACTTCAATGTCCGTAAACTTGTGGTGCGGAAGCGCTAACACCAACAGACTGTCCATTTCGTGACAGAAGCCTATTCTGTAAACTTGTTCCTTGTTTTGGTGGTTCACTGAAATCGATGACATGCTTATGGACTGTTTGGTGATCTGATGGACCACTTGAGACAATGTGATGAACATTCCCTTCAGTTTCAACAAAACCGGATTCAAGTCCTCATTGTCTGCCTTCGGATACGAATAGAGGAGACAATCGGTTTGCGTGTCGTTTGGAGGCATTAAATACATTAAAATGAATTGAGTGTCCATTTTGGGGACAATTGTCTCGCATTTGCCATCAATTAAATCAAACAATTGGTTTGTTTTCATCACTTCATTGAGACAATTGTCGTCACAATCGGAAACATTGATCACTGGATTTGTGGCACAATTGGTCTCAATTGGATCGTTCACTGGACTCTCTTTGAGCGGTTCCTTCTTCTTTGTACTCTTCCTCTTAAGGCTCTTATCCCTAGTTTTAGACCATTTGTTGCGAAAGACACCCGAAATGAGTCGACTATAACTCAAACCAAACCTACAATGAAACCAATGTTTGTGTCAATCAATGGATCAATTCAAGTGATTGTCTTGAGAATCAATTACCGATCAAACGATGGGTTCGTCTGTTGCTTGTCTTTGTCGTCCACACATTCAGCCGATGTCTTGTCGATGTCTTTGTCCTTGTCTTCGGCCATCAGTTTCACGTAAAACAACTCGTGAGTCAATTGGTTCGCGTAATCCATGTCTTCATCGTTGAGAGTGATGTCTGAGAGAGAGCTCTGATAATCAGATGAACTACACGTCGAGCAGCACGAGGACTCGCTCTCTGAAGACATCTCTTCGGCGGACAATGGCTTCCGAGTGACAAATGACCACTAATTTGATGTTCAAATGGATTACAAAAATAATTATCAAAAATAAAAGTAACGAAAGATTTTTGTTGTCATGTTTTGCCTCACATTTCACCACAAATTATGTCTCAAATA